TCTCACAATACTGTTTTTTATACTTTTCCTGAAAAATCTGAGCAAATTGTGAGTAAAATAAAGAAAGCATGGCAAAAACACAGAATTGTGAGATGTAAACTAAGAATGCTGGAAAAAAAGGCTGATTTGTGAGATAAAAATGTTGCTATTATTTTTATCCCATGGCAGAAATGGGCTTCCATAGTTATAATTAACTTTACTATATGATATCCAATTCTGTATCATTCCTAGACTAGGAAAACTGAAAGCTATGCATTATATGTTTATCAAATATATTTTGAATCAGAAATAGCTCACATTTATAACAGTCACGTTTGGTGTCATACACAGTGCAGATCTCGTTGTCTCCACAGCCCTTTGTTTGACACACAGCACCAGTGGTAGTACATTCACAACTCTGTGAACAATCCTCTGTCACAAATGTCTCCTTCAGCTGCGTGTGGAAGGGTACAGAGAAACATGATCAACAATGTCTTGTGCAATTCCAACCTTTAACCTGTAGTATTTGACATGCATCAAAAGGCTCACCTGATAGTAGCGATCGAGGTAAGTGCATCCACACTCGCTGTAAGGCACACAGTCTTGGTCGCTCATGACAAAGCCGGAGGCGCACTGACATCCCTCCACACACTGCGTTTGCTCACACTCAGAGGGAGCCGCCAGGTCTGCGCAGGACGCCGGGCATGGAGTCATACAGAGGGAGTAAGTGCTGTTGGGCCCACACTGCAGACCTAAATCACAAACACACACATTTATGTTGTTTAGTGTCACATGATCCTTCAGTAATCATTCTAATATGCTGATTTTGTGCTCAGAAAACATTTCTTATTATTATCAATGTTGTGCCGCTTTCTATTTTTGTGGAAGCCATGATTTTAAACCAGGTTTTTATTTTATTTCATTTTTAAATGTTTAAATTGCTACAGAATTCTATACAGAACCACATTCCATAAATTAACTATTTTATTTTTCATACCGCAATTCAGTTCTTGTCTCCACAGCCCTAGTGTGACACCCAGATCTTGGCAAGCCCGAGCGTAGACGGCGTAATTTTCACAGCGCAGCTCTTCACTGCCCTGCTCAGCGCATAGGTCAAACACACAATCCCTGCAATGCAAACACACACTGTTGTGAAGGGCTGTGCATCCGTACCAACACCCGCATATCACAAGTTTATCTCATTCAAACGCACAAGCATTCACATGCTCTTGTACATAGTGCAACACACACCCACTATGCATTAACTCATGAAAGTGAACTCATACTTGTCACTAGAGTGCACACACCCTCACACACATTACTCACTCCTGGAAGACATCCGGAGTGATCACAGCATGACAGGGAGTGAAAGGACCAGCAGGGTCGCTGAGAGCCCCACACATTTTATTCCCGTTCAGCTCCTCCAGCAGAGCATCTGTGCAGCCTGTCGTATCAAACCCTGAATCTGGGTCAGCCTCCACTTCACGCCTAATAGTAAAGAAGACAGGCTTTTTAGGGGTAGGACTATGCCAGACTATTTCAGATTATTTATTTCATGAGAAATGGCATCCCAGTTGATTAATAATGCATAGCATTAGTCTTATAGTCTTCCGTACTTGTGTAGGTGCACCATCTTTGGTAGGGATGTGGTACCAAGACCCGCCTGTCTGTCAGTCACTCTCCAGCTGTCTCCAAACTCATTGAGGTTGCGGGTAACTGTGCCATCTGGTTTTGTGTACTCGTTACGGTTGTTTCCATCATAGTTACCGCACAGACCGAGCACACGGGATCTGTATACACTTGGTAGAGTCACCACTTTAGGGAAAAAGAAGAGAGCGAGAGTTTTCATTATATACTTTACAAAACATGCAAAGCTGTGCATAAAAAAATCCTTGATAATTGTGTGGATGTGAGTTTTGAGCTACCTGCTTGAGCATTGCCATCAAAGCGCACAGAAAGGCCAAAGTCAGTTGTGAGCATCACATAACGAGACTTTGTTTTTATGTTAACTCCACGTACAGGACTGAACGGTAGACCAACTTTCTCTCCATCGACCTGATGGAGAAACACACGTAAAGACATTCATGATATTATGTGGTTGTTATTATGGTCCATATATGAAGTCTGTTAGATACAACTATTAGAATTGACTACATGTCCCATGAATCCCTCACCAGCACTTTCTTCTTCTGCTGCATGCGAACAGTAATGCCGTATACGTCCACATAGACCTCGCGCAGGAGTGACACCCGGCTGATGCCTCCCTGCCGCTGGTTTTTGCCGCGGACTGTGAACGGTGTGAGGGAGCTGGGCAGAGTGGTGCTCTGAGTTAATACATAGGTATACGCTCCCTGGTAGTGGTGATTGTATCTGTCAAAGGTACGATAGTGAGGGTCCCCAGCAATATTGCAGTCATCGAATTCTATGAGAAGTAAAAGAGGTTTGAGTTAGTTCATCTAAAATGAGGTGGACATTAAGACTAACCTGCTTCAAGGCTCAAACATTTACATTTCTTTAGATGCCCACAAGTTGCAGTCATTAAACCCCAAAAACTTAGAGGTAAAGTAGAAAATGTTTGCTAAGAGAAAGTGTTTAAAAAGTTGCCAACTTTTTGTCTTTCATGTATAGTAAATATGAATTTTTGGTTGCTCTGATGGTCTGAATTAAGTCAATTGATGTCATTGTTCCCTCATTCTTAGTATTTCTCATTGCAAAACTGTCCTGAACTCACTCTCAGGTTTGCAGTAACGGTCTCCATTGCTGTCAAGATCGCAGATCGAGTTGTCATTGCATTCAAAGGATGTGCAGGACAGCACTCCTCCAAGGCTGCAGCTGCACCTCTGTTCGCAGTGGTCAGTTATCCACGAATCTCCCACCTGAAATATACCAGGCAGTATTGTAAAATTTTGGGTTTCACTTTATTTTGATGGTCCCTTTAACACATTCTGTTGACTATAAGTAAGTGACATAAAATGAAAGCACTGTCATCTTTATAGCGCCTTTTTATAACATATTCTTTATGTGTCATGTTATTGCCATTATTCGTTTATATAGAAAATTATTTCAATAATGAGTTGAAGAACAGAAGAGTCGGATGAATAGAGTTGAAGAAAACAAGTCTTTAAAGGGGTCATATGATGCTGCTAAAAAGAACATTATTTTGTGTATTTGGTGTAATGAAATGTGTTTATGCGGTTTAAGACTACCGTTCAAAAGTTTGGAGTCGGTAAGATTTTTAAATGTTAGAAAGAAGTCTCTTATGTTCAACAACGCTGCAATTATTTGATCATAAAAGTAGAATCTGTAATTCTGAAATATTATGACAGTTTACAATAACTTCTATTTTAATTAATTATTGTGATGTCAAAGCTGAATTTTCAGCAGCAGTTACTCCAGTCTTCAGTGTCACATGATCCGTTCAGAAATCATTCTAATATCAGTATATTAGAATGATTTCTGAACAGATCATGTGCTTAAGAGACATTTATTATTATTATCAAAGCAGCTGTGCTGCTTAATACCCTTTTTCAGGATTCTTCGAAGAATATAAAATATAAACAGCATTTATTTGACAAAACTTTTAAACAGTAGTATAATTCAGTATGCAATTCTAGCAACTTTACTCACATCATGATACTCTCCATTGCTGTCAACACATCCACAGCTTGAGAGGGGAACACACTTGCCATCACTTAGCACAAAACCTCCATTGCACTTGCAGCCTTCGACACAACTATTAGGTGGTAATGGGCAGAATACGGGGAAGAGATCGGCACAAGTAGGAGGACATGGTGCTGTGCACTCAGAATAGTGACTGTTTGGTGGGCACGGGAGAGCTGGAAAGAAAAAAACACAAAGGAAAGAAGTTTGATGCACTGGATTTGAATGACAATGATTCTCTGACATACTCATAGACCATTTCTTCTTTCAAAATATGCATAGAAATTCATTAATATTTATGCATAGCCTAGAGGTTATCAATGAAGAATCTCATAAATGCTTAATTTTATCAGCATCAAAGTTCTGCTCTTTTGATCGTTACAATTCTAGCCAAATTATTCTTCCTCCTGTCACCCAGCTCAGCATTACATTCTCAGCACATCTCTTCATCCTTCCTTCCCTCTTTCACTTACGACAGAAGGTGCTGTTTCTCCAGCTGATCGTGACTCCAGCGCTATGACAAACACATCCACAGCTTGAGAGGGGAACACACTTGCCATCACTTAGCACAAAACCTCCATTGCACTTGCAGCCTTCGACACAACTATTAGGTGGTAATGGGCAGAATACGGGGAAGAGATCGGCACAAGTAGGAGGACATGGTGCTGTGCACTCAGAATAATGACTGTTAGGTGGGCACGGGAGAGCTGGAAATAGAAGTGCACAAAGGAAAGAGGTTTGACGCAGCGGATTTGAATGACAATGATTCTTTGACATATTCAGAGGCCATTTCTTCCTTCAAAATATGCATAGATATTCATTAATATTTATGCATAGCCTAGAGGTTATCAATGAAGAATCTCATAAATGCTTCATTTTCTCAGCATCACAGTTCTGCTCTTTTGAGCTTTACAATTCTAGTCAAATTATTCTTCCTCCTGTCACCCAGCTCAGCATAACATTCTCAGCACATCTCCTAGTCTTTTCTTCCCTCTTTCTCTTTCACTTACGACAGAAGGTGCTGTTTCTCCAGCTGATCGTGACTCCAGCGCTATGACAGGCCTGGGCGTAAGCTTCAATGTTATCGCACAGAGTCGACTGCATGCCATCATACTCGCACATGTCATAGATACAGTTCCCCAGGAAAGATTCTGGAGGAATGAGAGAGTGACAGGGCTTGAAGAGATCAGATAGGATAGACGCCGCACACTGTGACTTGTAGATTTCTTCCTCTTTCTTGTCGCAGTTGGGTTTGTCATCAGGCCGTTCATCAGGTTTGCACCTGCAGATGGAGAAACGAGGCATGGATGAACACAAGAGAAGAATGAAGACAAGTGAAACTACTGATTTTTCACTCAAATTCATATGTATCCTAAGTGCATCTATAATGCTGCTATCTTTTGATGTTTGTTTATTTCTGAATTATGGAGAGGGACCAAACAATGTAACACTCACCCAGGATCACTGTCTCCCTCTGCCTTCCAGCTGTTACCAAGTTCAGTGGCATTGTTGGCTGGTTTGCCATCAGGCATCAAGTTGTCATCAGAGGAATCTCCGTTGTAGTTACCACACATTCCACATACCTGTAAGACGAAAGTTGAATTACGGGAAAGCAGTGAGTGTGATATGTGTCAAGAAGATTTGATCAAAATCTGCTTGTGGAAATTCTTTCATTTTTCTTAATGAAATTCAGACATCTGGACCAAAAAGGAAACTGTCTGGTTTATTAATCAAACATTAGTATCTAAAGACTGCATTTACAACAAATATCAGGTAGTAGGGGTGGGTGATATGACCAAAATCTTATATCATGATATGAGTAATTTTATCTCACCGTAACAATATATATCACAATATAGCTATTTTTGCTTTAAATAAGGTCTTTATGATATCAACATTTTTGACACCATAGAAATGTCATAATTCTTGTCACCAGAGTCAATGTCACAAAAGAACTAATGCTAGCCTAAATTGAAAAAAAGCTCACTGAAGACAAGTGAAGAGTCAGTGATTAAATAAGAATAAGAAACTACTTACAAGCAAAAGGACAAAAACAGTAGAACAAATAAATAAGAAATGCTACATACATTGTATAAGGTAATGAAATGTAAAAAAACACTGCATATTCTCCACTGTGTAAACTAAATATACAGTATATTTCTTATTATTAAAGTTACAAAAATGATTTAGTCAAGAGTAGTGAGAGATTTTCTCTCTTTTGTTGTTTGATTAACATGAATGACAGACAGCAGGAATATTAGACTAAAGACCTAAATTACGAGGTTTACAAGGATACTTGCAAAGATGGGCATTTTGACACATAAAAGTGTGTATTTACCTGTTCAAGGCCTATAAAGCGGCAAAAATAACTCACTACAATGCTCCTGCACTCTATGAGCACCGTCTTTACGTGCACGTGCCTCTCTGACAGTGCTAAGACAGCGCACACATATAGTGAAATGAGCTCTCTTTATCTGCTTATTGAGTTTCCAACGGCTTAAAATCACTTGTTTTTTAACCCCAATTCTTAAAAACATGCGTAAACGATAAGTTTTCGTGACCATGTAGCACAGAAACGTCACGTGAGCGTGTAACCGCTATAGAGATGATAATCCAAAATCTCTGCATGTTGACAAATTTCTACTGGTTAATCGTGTCTACCGGTATATCGCCCACTCCTATTAGGTAGGATGATGTTCTAGCTTTATTTTTGCGTATAGTTTCAAACCTTGTTGAAATAGTCTCCAGGTACTGTGATTTCAATATGGTGCACTCCATCAAACTTCACAATCAGGCCGAAGTCAGTGTCCAGTACGGTGTTTACTCCACTGGTGAACACCCGCGCCTTGGCTGAACTGATGTCATAGGGGGTCTTTATCCTGCGTTCATTCACCTAGTCGGTGGACAGAACAAATATGAGTACAAGCCAGAGATTTAGCACAATCATATCACTGGATACATAGAATCTTATCTATGATATTAAACAATATTTCACTGTTATATCCCTATTCATGATGTCTAATCAGAAGAAGGCATGCAAATTCAGCCTAGTCAAAATCACTATTGCATCTCTTCCTTCTTCCTTCTCAGGCTCTCACCAGTACTCTTCCATTCTTGCTGATGGTGATGTTGGCAGTGGGCAGGTAGACGGTCACAGAGTGAACATACGAAGCTTCTGGTTGGCCGCGCTCTTCGTTTTTGGCCACAATGGTGAAGGGTGTCACCATAGAGGTGTCGCATATCGCCACCAGCGTGTAAGTGCAGGTACCCATGTAGGTGTGCATGATGCCATCAAAAGTGTAGTAGTGAGGATCACCAGCAATGTGACAAATGCCCACTCCTGCAAAGAAGGTCAATAAGCATGTGTCAAACAGATAGATAGACAGAGAGGCAGATAGAAAGACACAGACAAAGATAGACAGACACATAAAAAGAGATAAAAAGATTACGTAGAGTATGTACCTGTGTTCACACAGCCTAGTTCACCATCATTGACCTTACATTCCTGAGTGGGACCACATTGCCATGCCTCGCATGTCACTGTATTGAAAGGTGAACAAACACAGCGCTCTGTGCAATCATCCTTCGTGAACCAGCTGTCTCCAACCTAAAAAATCAAACAGATACGCATTAATAATTGAAATGGACAAAGGGACAATCCTAAACTAGAAATGAAAACATGCATAATTAAACTACACCTTTATTCACAAAAATGTGAACTGAAATTTGTTCAATTTGTAAGAAATTATTTAAAATTTGAAAACAGAAGTAAGTTTCATTGAGTCTTCTCAAGCACTCACAGGCCTATAGTTGCTGTCTTTGTCAGTGCAACCACACTCGCTGAAGGGCACACACTTGTCCCCACTGAGGACAAAACCAGGGTCACACACACATCCCTCAACACAGGGCTCAAAGCAGGTGCCTTCAGATCCAGGGTCCTGACAACTGGCTGGACAGGCTGAACCACACGGCTCATAGTGACTACCAACCGGACATTTAATAGCTGGAAGAAACAGAAAAATAAAAGAGTGGTGTTAACCGAACCAATGCAATGGGGCAGAAGAGAACAAATGAATGAAAATAGTTAGAAAAGAGAGAAGGACAGACGAGAAACTGGGACGATGGGCAGAGACGGAGAAACATAAAAATACAACTATTTTAGCACAGCCAATTTAGGAACTAAAGAGACACTCGGCACTCGTTGATCACTCCCTAATTGAAGGGTGCACACTGCAAAGGCAGAGTCTTAAAAAGGTTACCAGGATTCAGTTAATTGCAGGTTTTAAGGGCGCTTTACAGAATGCCTGTAGGGCTCAAACACTTACGGCAGAAGGTGTTATTCCTCCAGTTAATTGGCACCCCAGCTTGAGCACACAGGTCAGCATAGCTTTGAATAGCTTGGCACAGTGCCACTGTGGCGCCACCAGTGCCACACTGATCAAACACACAGTTCTCAAAGTAAGGATTGGGAGGCACCACTTCATGACATGGCTTGAAGATTCCTGGGAAAAGAATGGTAAGTAGGATTTAATAGTGCATAAAACAGGTGTTGTGTCTCTATAAAACAGAGGAGCTCAGTGCACTGAACAGATGTGCTGGAATATAGTCATAGATAGAGTAAAATGAGGCCTCTTGTACATTTACCCTTTACTCTTCAAGTCATGTTCAAGTCATAGGTAACATTCAATCCAAAATGTATTACAATGATTGTAGTCAAACCGCCCAAAGCAGACAAATAAATTCATGCATTCTAACATAAACATGATTTATTCTAATTAATGCATTAAGATGAAATAACATTTGCAAATACAAATGCTGACTCTGATATTAGCAAAATACAATATTTCTAAGCAGAACAAACAATCCATTGTGAGTGTGAAGGGAACCTATAAGAGTAATTATAGGTGATAAAGAAATTAATGTTTAATTATTAAACTCTAGCATATGCTGATTTGAAATTATTTAAAAAATAAATAAATAAAATAAAGCAAATAAAATAAAAAAACAGCTATAAAATAATATCACATACATTTCTAATTGTGATAAAGCTTTTTATGCTTTTTTATTCAGTGACCTTAACATTACAATTTTTTTAAATGTATGTTTGTATGAGTGTCTCACCATTGGGGTCGGTGATCATGCCACAGCTAGTAGGTTTCTGTGCTTCACTCTCGATCTTGTCATCACATTCAATGTCTCCTCCACCATGAGTACAACTGTGCAAGATAAGAACAGGCATGAATGATTAAAGCTTCAATGATAAAAAGTGTATATTTAGAAACAAAATTAATGAAATCTAACTATCATTGGTGCAGTGCACAATTAAATATGCTTTCACTTACTCTGGTCTGTCGTCAGGAACCTGCCAGCTTTCTCCAAGCTCATTGGTGCTGTCTGTTGGCGTTCCATCTGACTTGATGTTGTCATCATTAGGATTACCATTATAATTTCCTGTAATATATTATTATTAAAATGACCCATGTCAAACGATTAGTTGGTTAGTAGCAGTATAAAGTAGCTTTTGAATCTCCATCAGTTAGTTAGATATCTGAATTTGCTGTGCTTACCACAGAGTCCACATAACAGTCCGCTGTAGGACGAAGGCAAGGTGACATCTGCATGATGGTTTCCATCAAAACGGACACGCAATCCAAAGTCTGTCTCAAGCACCACAAATTTGCCACTTAGGAAGATCTTAACACCATTTGACAGTGTGACAGGCACAGTGACCTGAACTCCATTCACCTGCAGGATGTACAAATAAGGTAAGCACAAGAATGGACTGCTGTTCTAATGTCCTGTAATCGGTTTCTTAAGTCTCACAAACCTTGGAAATGTCCCTTACCTGAACTTTGCGCCCCTTGCCCAAAATGATGGTTGTGTCATGCACATTGATGATGACAGATCTTACATAAGACACTTTCTTATTATTGTCTCTGTGCTCGTTCTGTGTCTCCACAGAAAAGTATGGCAAGCCTGAGGTCTCATTACAGGGCTTAGTGAGAGTGTAGGAACAGGCACCCATGAAGTGATGTACTTTATCATCAAAGGTGTTATAATGAGGGTCACCAGAAACTGAGCAAATGCCTGTACCTAAAAGAGAAAGAGATAAAAATGGAGAGATAAACTTTTAGTTCCATGTGTCAACAGGTTTGTGCAGAACTGCATGTTTGTATATGATAAGACACTAAAAACGAAACTATGTGTAAACTAGTATTATATTTGTTACCAAGTGGTTTGCAGCCATAGTCTCCATCTTGAAGTTGGCAGCTCTCAGTAGGAAGACAGCTGGTGTTGTAACAGTGAATAATTCCTCCACCCTCACATGTACACTTCTGTGTACAGCCCTCCAGATACCAGCTCTCATTTACCTATATATGGCCACATTGATAGGAACGTGTTAGAAATCCACAAGTCAAGCACATTTCTCCTATTTTTAAACATGAACACTTTGTTAAAATTCTGCACTGTGTTTTAAGCAATCGTATAGGTGATAACGACGCTATGATGAGGGTTGAGTTATCACAGTAACTCGACTCATTTAAATCCGTTTACCCAAAGATTCATGCATTGATTCATACAGTGACTCCTTCGTCCAGTAGGTGGCGACAAGTGTCATGTTGTGTTGGACTAATAAAACATTTAACTCAATCGAATCATTATAAAATATAGAGTCGATGAATGTTTTATTATCCTTTATAATAATTTGTCCGATATAACCATCTATTTTATCTATTGTTATAGCAAATGAATGAATGAGTGAGTGAATGCAATTCATGCTCACCGAATATGATTTCAAGTCAGACAGGCATTAACGAGAATCAAGCATAAAAATTCTAATTCTTAAGAATCTTAAAATCTGCGCTTTGAATAATAACTACATGACAAATAACTGAAAGTGACAAACTTTCTGAAAGTGATAAACACAACAACAGCAGCACAAATAAAGTAGCAAACTGTAAAACAATAAATATTAAAGAATTCAATTCATTTGCGTAATTTATTCACGCCGCGGTGCATTGCTGGAACTTTACCTCCATTTTGGTCAAATGTGCTCACGTTCGACAGAAACACAAAAAGTAAGTCATGGAAGAGCTTGTTGTTTGGCTATTTGAGTTGGTGTTTTTGCTGTTTAGTGTTTAAGGCACTTTTGGATGTCAGACATCATGCTTGTCATTTTCGCTCAAGAATAATGACTAACTTAGACAACAGGCCTAAAGAAGTCATAAAGTGAAAAGGTATGAGCTATACTCAGTTTCCTTCTACCTTTGATAATTTTATTTGTCAAACGGCTATTTAGGTGAACTACAAGAGCTAAAATAGTGAATAACATCATGAACAGAAATGGGTGTTTTTAGTTTACTCATTGTGTTTGCAGTGGTTCTTTGAATATTTTTAATCCAAACTCCAGGTTTTACTACGGGGGTCCCATAATTGCCTATGGCCCCAGAACCCCACGGTTCGGCCCTGGTGTTAAACTCACTGGATGGTAGGAGCCTGAGGAGTCCACACAGCCACAGTCTTTAACAGGGACACATTTGTTGTCACTGAGGATAAAGCCAGGGTCACACTCACAGCCTTCAACACACTTCTCACTGCAGCCCGGTGGTCCATTGATACCCAGACATGTCTCCGGACAGGAGCTCACACATATGGCGTAATGGCTGTTTGGAGGGCATTCCAGAGCTGAAGAAAAATTGAAAAACAGTATTAAATTATGAAAATATGGTTAAAGTGGGGATACAGGGATGTAGTTTCCCAGTCACATGTACCAACCCTCTGTGATGGCACTCCTGTCTTCTCTGCCTTGGCCATTAAAGGCATAAAAGCAAGCCCCATGAATAATAAAAACAATAAGGCTTAAGTTAAAGTAAGTGTTCAGCTCAAGCTTTTTCTATTCTAACCTTCTGAACTGCATTCACTTCTATAATTTATATTGTGCATTAGAGGCTTGCCACTGGGAATGTGAAATGTGATTCTTGGATTCATGGATGTAAGATGCCATATTTTGCTGCTTTATTATATGCTCAAACCATTTCTCAAATCCTACACTTGTGCAATATGATAGAATATGTGAGAGAATGACTCACGGCAGAAGTCTGGCTCCCTCCACTGATGGACAGGAGCACCTGCACTCAGGCAAGCATCAGTGTAAGCCTGAAGCTGGTCACAAAGGACCTGCTGCAGTCCCTGATAACGACACATATCAAACACACAGCTCTGGAAGAAAGGCAAGGGGTCCACCACATTTATGCAGTCCCTGTGAGGAGCAAATGCGAGAGAAAGTGTGCAGTTGATTAATCACTAGAAGTTCTTCATTGTCTCAGGTTAGAATCAGGTTAGAATCAGTATGAATAACAGAGCATGCATATTTATTATGATTCATTTCAAATGGAAGGATTCAAGATTGTTTATTAGCAGAAAATGCCATAGTTTGGTAAGTCCTAACCTAAATGCTCCGTTTGTGTCAGTTATTCTTCCACAGTTCTCTGGGTTTGACACGACACCCTCCAGCTCAGGATCGCAGGGTGGTTGAGGCCCGGGGTCCGGCTTGCACCTAAAAACAAGTCACAGATCTGCACCGATCAACACAGGCATCATCGAGCATAGGAAGTTGTCCTAATCCTGAAACTGCCTGATTAACAAGAAGATTGAAAGTTACTGACGTTGCATCCTCATCCTCATCAGTTTGCCAGCTGTCACCAAACTGACTTGAGCTGTCCGTTTGGGAGCCATCCGGCTTAGTGAAATCATTATTGGGGTTTCCGTCGTAGTCCCCGCACAGGCCGCACATCTGGTCATAGTAGGAACTGATAAAATGAGGGGAAAAAAGAAAGAGATTAATGTAAAGATATTAATTTTCCCAGAGATGCTTTTTGATTTTTCTTTTTGAATTTAGTCATAGCCTATAACCCTTAACAATCATTTTGGGTCTTAGTGTTTTCTGCAAAATACTGTCAGTACTGTGTATATATTCCAGTAAGGCTTTTTTCACATTTTCTTTACCTAGGAACTGAGATCTTGGCGTAATGGTTGCCGTCCCACTGCACCTCCAGGCCAAACGGAGTTGTGAGGATAACATATTGTCCAGCAAGAGACAGCGAAATGAGTGGAGATGGGGAGTGAGGAAGAGACACCCTGAGTCCATTCAACTGAGTGTGTGGAAAAAAGATAAAACCAAAGGTGGATTGAAGGTTAATGCTAGCTTTGAAAAAACAAACTTTGAAAGGCAAGATTATTCTTGGAAAACAGAAAAATGGACATAGGGATAATGTTACAGATTAGGAACCATTTAGAAAAAAATATTTAAAGGGGTCATATGATGCGATTTCAAGTTTTCCTTTCTCTTTGGAGTGTTACAAGCTGATTGTGCATAGATAAGATCCCTGAAGTTGCAAAGACTAAAGTCTCAAAACCAAAGAGATATTCTTTATCAAAGTTAAGACTAGGAATGTCTCAGAACTATTGTGTGTATTAACATAATCCAAGATATTATAATCTAAAAGATATTAAAATAAACTTTGGCCAATTACTTAAAACCTCAATTCTAGATCTCAAGATTACAGAATAACTTCATTGATGGTTTAATGAAGGCAGCTGTTGTGGATACTGACCAGAGTTCTCTTGTTTTTCATCAGTGTCACAGTGATGCCATCAACAGTCACGTATAGTTTCCTCAGGTAAGAAACACCAGAAACTCCTCTCTCTTCATTCTTACCCTCTATGGAGAACCAGGGGCCTGCAGACCCAGGAGGGAAGAAAGTGAAGTTATTTTGAAAGCTGTACATGCATATTCTTATTTGAGCTAACCTTTAAAGTTAATTTTGGGGACATTTAATGTAAATTTAATGAATAGTAATAATACAATAGTTTGCTACTCCAAACACCTAGTGATGACCAAAGCACTCTAGTAACTGCTGATTGTGGATAGTTGGCTTTGGCCATTGCTTACCAGTGTTGTTTTGGCAGGTGCGGGCCAGAGTGTAGGTGCAAGTGCCCATGTAGCTGTAGTATTTGCCATCGAAAGTGTTATAATGAGGATCACCAGAGATAATGCAGTCTTGAGATTCTGGGAGATTGAGGAAAGAGATTGATCAACTATTTTTGAAGCTCTAAAGAATGTGTAAAGTTCAATAGTTTACTGTTGCACACTATTTGTAAATAGTGAATTGTAAACATGCATAGTCAAGCTACAGTCTCCATCTCTCTAGCCAAATATACATGATGGAATGTTTAATCTAATATTAGAAGGGTGAATTACATATCACATCTGTCATTTTAGAGCCATTGCACAAAGCCAAGCCCAATTGTTATCTTGTTAATGCATATATATGCTAGATAAAGCGAGCTATAATTACATCGAAATCTGTTTGTTCAACATTGCAAAAACTGGAGTTGTATGATTTTAAGTCATACATTTATTTTAAAAAGATATTGCTTTAGCCTGACTGAAACTGGATGGATGGATGTTTGAAAATTGAATGGAAACACACTTACTGAATTAACCAGAGTGCTCACCTTGTGGATAACACCCAATTACACCACCCTGTACTCCACATTGTTCCACTGGTGGGCAGTCGGCAGCTTTACAGGAAACAAATGGGGGGTCGCACTTACACAGTACTTCACAGTCCTTAGTGTAGAACTCTTCACCTGGCTAAATCCATGGAGAGAGGAAAAGTCATGAAAAATACTAGTTGATTGACTATAACAAACCATTTCTGTCCTAAATAATACCAAATTCAATTTCCTCACCTTATAATAATTTCCATTATAGCTGCAACCACAAGTTTCTTCTTTCACGCACTGGCCAGCACTGAGGATATATCCAGGGTCACAAACACATCCTTCAGAACAAGGCCCGATGCACTGACTTGGTGGATATGGACTGCAGGAAGGCTGGCAAACTGGTGCGCATGATTCAAAGTGACTGTTGGGTGGGCATTTCAGAGCTGAAGAGGGAAAACTTATGTTAGTGCTAATCGTAATGTTGCGAATTCACTCTATTTGCCAGTAAGAGAAATAGGACAAGCCATTCAAGTCTTGTTTTTGTTTTTTTTGTCAGAGTTTATGGATAATGAATATGTATTTTTCAGACATACGACAGAAGGTGCTGTTTCTCCAGGGTCCAATTGTAACTCCACGGTCCTGACATTCATTGACGTATGACTCTATTGCTTCACACAAAGCAGAATAAGCACCATCCAGCTCACAAACGTCAAACAGACAGTCTTGGAAGAAACCCTACATACAAGGTTAAGATCTGTAAGTATGTTGTATTGTTAAATTATGCACTAAAGCATTTCAAATTAACTTATTCGATTTCACTCACATTGGGGTTGACTTTTGGATGGCAAGCAGCAAATGGGCCATTGCTGTCCAATATGATACCACAGTAAGCAGGCCCTTCATACAACTCCTGCTCAGCATCTGTACACCCAGGGGATGGGCCAACCTCTGGCTTGTTACACCTGAAGGCAGAATCAGAGGTGAGTTGTCTATGATGTGAATTAATAGAGACACGTCTTTTAGTTGTAACAGCATGTGCCTCGTATAGTGCCTTACTCAGGGTCTGTGTTCCAGCTGTGGCCGAAGTCATTGGGGCTTTGGACCAGTTCACCAGTTGGAGTCTGGAAATCATTCTGAGGGTCTCCGTTGTAGTCCCCACACAGTCCACAAAGTTTGTCCTCATAGCTGTAAAATGATCACGAGCATGTAGAAACATTCAAAAGTGAATCAAGTTATAAATGTTGTTACTATGAAGACGTTTATTAGAACCATACTCACTCCTTGATAACTTTAATGTCCATATAGTGGTTTCCGTCATAACGTACGGTTACTCCAAAGTTCAAGGCCACTGTGTAGTGCTTGCCAGACATAAAAATGTCAACACCACTGACAGGACTCAGAGGAATGTTCACATTGGTACCATTGACCTGAGAAATGTCAGAAAACATAATTGTCATTTTGAATGTGCCCCTAAATTACATGTATGCAGTATACAGTGGGTACGGAAAGTATTCAGACCCCCTTAAATTTTTCACTCTTTGTTATATTGCAGCCATTTGCTAAAATCATTTAAGTAAATTTTTTTTCCTCATTAATGTACACACAGCACCCCATATTGACAGAAAAACACAGAATTGTTGACATTTTTGCAAATTTATTAAAAAAGAAAAACTGAAAAATGCTCAGTATTTAGTAGAAGCACCCTTTTGATCTAATACAGCCATGAGTCTTTGGGAAAGATGCAACAAGTTTTTCACACATGGATTTGGGGATCCTCTGCCATTCCCTCTTGCAGATCCACTCCAGTTCTGTCAGGTTGGATGGTAAACGTTGGTGGACAGCCATTTTTAGGTCTCTCCAGAGATGCTCAATTGAGTTTAAGTCAGGGCTCTGGCTGGGCCATTCAAGAACAGTCACAGAGTTGTTGTGAAGCCACTCCTTCGTTATTTTAGCTGTGTGCTTAGGGTCATTGTCTTGTTGGAAGGTAAACCTTAGTTCCAGTCTGAGGTCCTGAGCACTCTGGAGAAGGTTTTCGTCCAGGATATCCCTGTACTTGGCCGCATTCATCTTTCCCTCGATTGCAACCAGTCGTCCTGTCCCTGCAGCTGAAAAACACCCCCACAGCATGATGCTGCCACCACCATGCTTCACTGTTGGGACTGTATTGGACAGGTGATGAGCAGTGCCTGGTTTTCTCCACACATACCGCTTAGAATTAAGGCCAAAAAGTTCTATCTTGGTCTCATCAGACCAGAGAATCTTATTTCTCACCATCTTGAGGGGGTCTGAATACTTTCCGTACCCACTGTATGTGCACAAATAATACTGTATACATGATAGTATATAAATCATTAATATTGAAAGTAATGTTCTTTTCTCTTACTTGAACCGTTCCTCCTTTCAGAACAGACACTACGACTCCCAGCGCATGGACATGAACTGCTTTTACATAGCTGATATGAGGATTGTTGTAGCGGTTCTCGTTGTCTGTGTACACAGCGAAGTAAGGCACGTCTGTGCTGTTACAAGGTTCGGACATCAGGTAAGAACAGTTTCCCATGAAGTCATAGCGCCGGTTATCAAAGGTGTTATAATGGGGGTCACCAGAGGCAATACAGGTGGAGGTTCCTGTGAATGAAAAATCCCTTGGTGTCAAAGACATGAATACAAGCTTGATCATAAATACTTGTTGTATCAAGAGTTACAGGTTTGCAAGTTAATAAATACCAAGCCTAAATACAAAATTTTGACTGTGTGTTTGAAAGCTTGTGGGCTTTGAAGCATGAACTATCACAGAAGCCAACTAGTGTGTTGTTTGATCACTTGTCAGTTACGGTAGTTGTGGATAAGGGGTTGCTGTGGTTTTCTGTAATACCTTTAGGGTAGCAGCCGTGCACTCCACCAAACTCCCGACATTCTTCTGTCACAGGGTCACAGGTGTTGTCCACACAGTCGAAAGTGTAGTTGCCAGCACAGCGACACAACTTGGAACAGCCATCTCCAAAAATGATCTCACCAGGCTGAGTGTAAATACAGGCCAAACATTTTTAGAGCAAAACCTTAGGTCCCAAAGCTGGATAAAAATGCAGCCTCACAATGACAACTCTTGTACCTCAAAGTAATTGTTTTCTTCATCCAGACATCCACACTGCTCAATAGGAACACAGCGTCGGCCACGGAAAACAAATCCTGGCTTACAGAAGCAGCCGCTGATGCAAGAACCAGAGCAGTTGGTGGAGGGTTCTGTGCAGGTAGGAATGCAGGCTGGGCCGCAATCAATGTACTCCGAGTCTCCACACTGCTCAATAGGAACACAGCGTCGGCCACGGAAAACAAATCCTGGCTTACAGAAGCAGCCGCTGATGCAAGAACCAGAGCAGTTGGTGGAGGGTTCTGTGCAGGTAGGAATGCAGGCTGGGCCGCAATCAATGTACTCCGAGTCTGGAGGGCAGTTCACTGTTGCAAGACATGAAGGGTTTGTTTATCTAAACAAATGTTATAATGTTTTGATAAATGTTTCTAATCAAAATAGAACAAGTTTAGCTTACCTGGTGGTGTTGGTCCTGGAGTAGTTGGCTTAGGTGTTGTTGGTTTAGGAGTTGATGGACCTGGTGTTGTTGGTTTGGGTGTAGTGGGTTGGGGTGTAGATGGATTAGGTGATGATGGACCTGGTGTCGTTGGTTTAGGTGAGGTGGGCTGGGGTGTAGATGGATTAGGTGATGATGGACCTGGTGTTGTTGGTTTAGGTGGGGTGGGGTGGGGTGTAGATGGATTAGGTGATGATGGACCTGGTGTCGTTGGTTTAGGTGAAGACGGTTGGGGTGTAGATGGATTAGGTGATGATGGACCTGGTGTCGTTGGTTTAGGTGAAGGCGGTTGGGGTGTAGATGGATTAGGAGATGATGGACCTGGTGTCGTTGGTTTAGGTGAAGTAGGTTGGGGTGTAGATGGATTAGGGGATGATGGATCTGGGTTGGGGTGTAGATGGATTAGGGGATGATGGACCTGGTGTCGTTGGTTTAGGTGAAGTGGGTTGTGGTGTTGATGGTTTAGGTGTAGTGGGTTGGGGCGGGGATGGCTTAGGTGTTGTTGGAGTTGCTAAAATCAAGCAAGAAAACAATTAATAGACTGGTGCATCATTCATAAAATATGTATTATATGACAACTGGTACTTTTAGACTTACAATAGCATTAATGACATTGTCTGCCACCTACCTGTACAAGCGGTAATGCAGACACTATCAATTGCAATATCTGTCTTGTCTGTTTCACCATAAACACCTACAATTACAAACTGAAATAAAAAAAGTATAAAAACGTGAACATTTGGCAACATTTATGATTAATATAAATTGCTTTGTCGCTCAAATGGGCCAGATCATTGTCAAAAATGTAAAAAGCTCATTCACAAATTTTTAACTGAGAGAGTAAAACTGACCTCCACTGAATCAGCTAAACCAATGTAGCGAACGCTTGCAGGCTTCCAGCCCTGACCTTGATTTCCTTTTAGGCTGAAAATAGGGGCTCCAAGTGCCCCACCTAAAAAAAAAAAAATCATAAAACAAATCTTAGCCAAAATCTCTGTAATTAATCTGCATAATAACATTTTTGAAAATCATTGATCATCTAGCTTTCGTTGCGTGTATATGTGAATATGATTGTCTTATTATAATTGTAATTGTAATTTCATAATTTTCCTTTAAACCTACAGATGTTTTAATAAACTCGTAATCTTCACGCTTTCGAACAGCTTGTGACTCTTACCGGTGGTGACTGCATGGACATTTAGCTCCATGTTGGTGGCACTGCCATACATGTAGTAATGGAAGTCCAGCTGTAGGCAACCAGAGGCTGAGGTAGAGGGGCTCCAGAGCTGAGCGGATTCTCCTTCAATGCTAAAGCTGGAGTCCATTAACTGGTATGAACCCACTGCATTGGAAAGAAACAGTTTGAGAAAATAGAGAATGCAAAGAGGACTGACAGCAGTCCTTAAAAATAATCATTGATATGACAGGAATATTGGACTCACATCCTGGTTTGGAGAAGTCATCATCAGGGCCAGTGCCTGGTGTATCTGTCTGTCCAGTCCATAACTCCCAACCAAAAATTTCATCATTAGGTACCACATTCGTCCAGCCGCATTCATCATCATCAAAATCACACCCAACTATACAGCCTGTATAAAAACAAACAAAATGTTGTTTATAAAATCATTATTTTAATATTAAATGTTTATAGTTGTAACATGCAATGAGGGTAAAATAAAGTACCAGCACAGGCTCCCTCAGTGATGACAATGTTATCCATGGCAGTGTCACATGATGAGGAGAGCCCACGCTTTGCTTGAAACACAATCTAGAAGAGAAAAATGACATTAAAACTTACTGAAAAGGGGATTTTCTTTCACACTGTATAAGAGTCACAAAGTTAATTCTGTCATCATGAACTTCAGAAGTGTTCTTTGTCTTGGTAACATTGACTTTTTTATAACTGATGCTAAAGAAAAGGCCTACATAGATTAGACACACTATAATGCATAGCCTTTTGCCTTTTGCCTTAAACACAGTGACCACACTGAAATTTAATAAGTCTCAAGGTCATAATACTCAAGCAATTTTTAAGGCAATTTAGTGAGGTATAACAAGACTGTACTCATATGTATTTCATTTAAAAATGCATGCTAGAACTATAGAAGAACAAATGACATACATCTATAGCATTATAAAAACAATTGCATTAGTACTAATCACAGTCTGTTTTTAAGCAGACCCAATTACCTGAGCAGTCTGTCCAGCTGGTATGGGCACAGTGACAGAGGCTCCAAGCCATGAAGGGCTCTGTATCCCAGTTTTTTGCCACATTTGTTCCTCAGAGCCGGGACGTTTGGCAAACACAGTCAGGGTGTTACTGCTGTCAGAGCCATACATGTAGTAGTAGAACTGTACACAGATCTCAGAAGGTCCACTAGTAATAACTGGGCTGAGAAGGCGTACTTTCTGTCCATTTACGGAGTTGTCAGCCTCATGATATATGTAATAGCCAGCTACGGGGGGAAAGGGTTTAATTAAATGAGAGCAAGAAACAGTAAAAAAACAATAGGTTCTTTAGCGATTTATAGGTTGCTTGACAAAACATTTTATAGTGCATGTCCCATCAATCAGTGTATTGTAATTTTGTAAGCATTTGTGGTTGCGGTAATTTCAGTAATATTCCGTTTTGAACATCATTTCCAAGTGATTTTGCATCTTCAGTGCAGTGACTGATCACTGGAGTGTTTTTTGTTGGTTTTGGTGTTCATACTCACCTCCATCCGGATAGTCTCCATCAGGTCCAGTGCCTGGGGTTGGGGTGGGTCCACTGTGACGCGTCCAGTCACCATTATCTGCAGGGTCTTGTTGGAAGTTGCAGAACGGTTCTTCATTTTGGTTGAAATCACAAGAGGCCAACGCTGCTTAAAAACGAGACGTTTCAGTTTTCAGTGTTAGAAACTGTCTAGAATTGACTATACTGTAGGAATTTTCCAGTTGACTGTAGATTACTTATTTAAGGATATGCTCAAACAAAACCAGTCCTAAAATGAGGAATGGGTAATGCTTACATTTTTTATGTGCATCATTTTCCAGTGGTACAATGCAATAAATGCTCTATGTTCATAATGTGTTGGTAATGAACATGGACCTTAGATATGCTTTATGGGGGCCTACCGTACTCCACCCGTTTACAACCAGTTCTCATGTCATTTTGTAATCACATGTGTCCTTGCTTGATTGCAAGCGTGAACACTTTGTGCAAAGTCAAGCATGTTTTTGGTGACAGAAAAAAGTCTGTTCATTAGTGTGAGACAGACAAGATAATAGTCTTTGCACAGATTTGTAGGAAATGATAATAGTAGTTCTTAGTTCTATTGTAGCAATTTATTTATATTAAAATGTTACTTAATATTGGAAAAAGAAATGTTAAAATAAATGATTGAGATATAGAAATGTTGCAATAGCACTAATTCTCTGGTTAATCATTGTCCTTATTACATTTTACATGATAATTTACTTACCTGCATCTCCCTCTGTCACGTCAAATCTGTAAAAACAGGAAATAAGAAGGCAGGCTGAGTTGACTAATATCAGAAAAAAAGATGAAATGGCTGGCTATATTTGACCATGCTTGTTAAGTATTAGATTAGCTGCATAATCACATGAATTTCTTATCTACAAAGGCATAAAAGTAGTGTAATTCAGTTACATAACAGTAGTCATCATCATAATATTTATCATTTGTTTCCATCATTATGATCAGATGTTAAATGCTTAATTACATTTGAATAAAAACTGTTAGGAAGTGTCAATTAATGCCTTGGCAATACGTTAATGTTGTGTATAAAATTAAGAAATAGCAAGACTCTGATATGTTAACATGCTTTTACACTTACAGTTTTTAATTTTGCCTGTTTTCATATAACTAATTGTTAGAAACGTGTGGCTCTATTTAAATGCCTGGTGCAAATGATAATTAGTTATTTACTGAACCATGTACTTTGTATAAATATAAAGTATATAATAAAAAAAAAAACACTAGCTTTCTATTTTTCTATTCTATCGACTTGTTTTTCTTTGTGTGTGTGTGTGTGTATACGTGTGTGTGTATATGTGTGTGTATAATATATATATATATATATACACCTTGCTACGTGTACTGCGTTAGGCTAACCGAGACTTTTATTTATAATATATGTTTATATATTTATAATATATTTACAATATGTATTTGCAATGTTATACATACAGTATAAATATGTATACAATGTAGGCTACATCATTTTGCTAATATAAACTATAATCAAATCTTTTACTGAATCTGGTACTTAATAAAAGCAAAATAAGATTTACATTCACATTACTACTGAAACATTATACCAAATTACTAAATCATGAGCATCTCACCTATTTGCATTGTTGTCTATGGTAAAGCAACCTGTTATCCATGTTAATACTAGTATTAACTCCAGATGTCCCATGTCTGGATTAATGGATGGTGTTAGGTTCACTTAGACAGAAGTGAGAAATCTGTTTGAGTTTATAAAGAGTCGTGTGATGCATGGTCAGTGAGGCAGGGGCATAAGAAGGTGTGTATCACTTTTTATCACTTTCACGAATATAATTTTACATAGCTTATTACAAAACCGGTTTAGTGAATCAGTAACTGTTCGTGATAGGACCTGGGTGTGTCCCCCCATTCTCTTAGGTCTTATGGGCAGACTCATACATTACATAGACCTTCGAAGTGACCTCTTAATTCAGGAATCCCCATATGGTTTATCATCATTTTTTTTTTACAATTATTGCTTTTTTTTGACTAGTCTGAATAGTATCAGGAATTCCCTGTTGACGTAAGCTTAAAACCCAAATCTAAAATATTGAAAATTTAGGACAAAAAGTTGAAAATATATATTTTCATAGAATTAGCAGTCCATAAGTTCAATGAATTCTTGTGTTTCAAAGGAGGCCAGATCAGTCAGAATCTAGATCAAGATTTTTACTATCTTGTAAAAATAATATAAAATAAATGCATACACAAGTTTAGTTTTTCATTACTGTATGACAATAAACTGTGTGCCTGAACATTCATTTGCAAAATGACTAAAGTGATATTTAAATTCAAATTAAGATATTTCAGTTTTCAGTTAACAACATACAAAAGCGTAATTTTTCACTGAAATCATGATTCTTGTTAGGACAATGAATCAGTGCTTACAACTATTACTTCTGATTCAAAATTTGTTTTTGTCTTGTGACCAGAACTGATGGAAATCACTCCTATGTGATTCCACCCTGTTTTCTGACAACACATGTATGTTTATGATGCCTGTAAAAAGAGGCTCCCTGTGAATGATGTTCCAAATCAGGTCCAGCCCAGCAGAGTGAACCACTAAAGCTAGATGAGTAGAGGTCAAATCCCTCTTAACTTATTCTAAAGTATTTGACTCAAGCTAAACTTACAATAAAAAAGATCGTTTCAAACCTTTTTTTCCTTCACATACTTCAGTGGATCGTTCGAATATCAGATACATAAGAACTGTATACTTTGATTAGTACGCCATTAACACACATCATGTTATATAATGTTTAACAGATTTGAATGTGCATACTGATCTGTTAAGCATTTTATTATGTTTGTTAATGACTTTACTGTAAAGTGTTATGAATCATCTGAATACGTGATGTAGCCTCCCAATGGAAATGAGCTGTTTTGTCATTTGTTAATGAAAACTGGAGATCTTGAACTGTTTTTTGTTGTTGTTGTTGTTGTTAAATATAGAACTGTTTGCTTAAAGACACTTTAATTAATAAGGGGATTTGGCTTAAGGAAGTTTCGCTCAAGTTTCAAAATGTGAAATGTTATTTTGCAACTGAAACCTTTGCATCTGTTTGCTTAGCTGATGCATAATTTTGAACGTAAAAGCGTTGGAAGTTAATGGTATTACAGTCATACAAGGAAGGCACACAGCTGGGAAAAAAATGTAACAAATGTATTGTACCTGTATTCATGTATGGACATGACCAGTGAGTGTGGTTCAGTTTATATGAAGGTTGGGTAACACTTTACAATAAGTTTAGGCTTAACCTTATCATGAAATAACTATTAACTATTTTTACAGCTTTTATGAATATATGGTAATGTTCATTTTTAGATATACTGTTGTTAATTACTGTAAGGAGTGTTCCTTGTACAAAAATTAAATGTTAAAGATGTAATTTAATATACACTATCATTCAGAGTTTTAAAGGATGCAAAACCAAATTTAAAAAATAAAGAAATAATACTCTTTATACAGCAAGGATGCATTACATGATCAAAAGTGACAGTGCAGACATTTGTTTCAAACGATTTCTATTGAAAATAAATGCTGTTCTTTTAAACTTTCTTTTTCTTAGAATCCAGTAAAATATGTATAACAGTTTCCACTATACATATTAAACATATTAAATATATTAAGCAGCACAACTGTTTTCAACACTGATAATAAGAAATGTTTCTTGAGCACCAAATCAACATATGTGACCCTGGACCACAAAACCAGTCTTAAGTCGCTTGGGTATATTTTTAGCAATAGCCAAAATTATTGATTTTTCTTTTATGCCAAAAATCATTAGGATATTAAGTAAAGATCATGTTCCATGAAGATATTTTGTAAATTTCCTACC